CCTCCGCAGAGCGCGGCCCTGCCCAGCGGCCGGCGCAGCCGCAGCCCGCAGTGCGCGGAGCGCCCGCGCCTCTCTGCCCCGCGCGGTGAAAGGGCTGCAGCGGAGGAGCCCCGCGTCCCCTGATGCCGAATGGTGAGGTGTTCAACAAGGCTGCACAGCAGCAGCAGCCTCTTGAAGCAGCACCCAAAGAAGCCAACGGGAGCGCAGGGCGGGTGCTGAGCATTACACAGCTGATACAGCAAGACGCAGCAGCCTTGCGCAGTTCAGGCCACTGGTGTTTGCCATTACCCCTGCTCGACAGCCCCGTGCTGTGTCAGAGCACTGCAGAAGCAAATAGGCCTTGTGCAGGGGGACAGGGACAGTCACCTCTCCCCCGTGACCAGCAGTGCTGGCCGAGGTGGTTGATGTCCTGCTTTCCACAGGAGCCTCGGCTGCTTCTGCACTCTTGATAGCCAGCAGGCATAAGCTATGGAGCTTCAGGCAGGAGGGTGCTTTGGCATGGGCCATAGCTCAGGTGCAGTTGTTAGAGCGCTGCAGCATTTGCAGTAACACTGCCCCTGACGGCCGCAGGCTCTGCACCGTGTACCAAAAGCTGCCTGCAGTCACGGAATGGCCTTTTTCCCGTGGCAAAGCGGGTTGCTGCAGCACGAACCCCGCGCTCCCCCCTCCGGTGCCCGGTTCCCTCCCCAGCCGCAAGGCTGGCAGCAGCACAGGCACGAGGGCTTGTGCTCGCACAGCAGCCTCCACCTTTCACCAGCGGGGCTCGGAAGCTGTAACTAGTCAGAACCACAGAGATGCTTCTGAAACAACAACAGCCAGATTTCCCACAGGGAAACTACTAATGCTGAGAGTCAGGAGGAGTCAGCTGCTACCCACACGGGAGTCACGCAGCCACAGACTTCTCTACCTGCCCAGACTTGAGTTCCAAGCAGCACTTTAGAGCAAAGGAGGATGTTAAGTGTTTATTGATGATGATGGGGAAAAAAAAATAAATGTGAGAAAGCAAACAGGTACTTCTTTAAATATAAAGTTTCTAGTCACTCGATGTTCTATCAAGATCCATTTTTTGATTCAGGCAGAGTTACAAAAAAAATCCAAAGAGGATTTAGGGAAACATGATACTTCAACAAATTTTTCACCTATGACAAAGTCTGAACAGCAAACATCATAAAAAGAAAAAACCAAAACATATGTACAAATTCATACTTTCTAGTCAGTGAGAAATTTGTTACTGAGTGGCAGATTATTCATGTACATTCCACAAGGCATTACCCAGAGTCAGCATAAAATTAAGCTGAAAGACAGATTGTCTAAAAATAAGGCCAGTTTCACCCCAAATTTATGCATTTGATGACCAGAAATTTCTGGTACGTGTAGGTAAATTTAAAAGAAAAAAAAAAAAAGGAAAAAAAGAGAGCACCTGATCCAACCCAACTGGGCAACTCAGTCCAAACTGCAAGATTCATTCCTAGAAGTTACTGACAGTAGAAACCCAGGAGAAAGGACAACAGTATACACCTTTTTTTTTTTCTTCATCTTGTCTATTGCTAATTTTTAAATGCTTGTATAAAAACAAACCCCCACACCATATTTGCAATATGATCATAAATAGGCAATAGTTTAAAAACGCAAGATATGATTACCTTAAGTTACTGAGCTGGCTTGCACTTTGGGAAAAAAAAAAAAAAAGTGTGAACAAAACCCAAACGTCATTCTCTTCCTCCCTGCCTCCCCCTGTTCCAAACCATGGGGAGGAAAAAAAAAAAGTGTATACTCTGATTAATATTAGAACTGGCACCAACATTCATGCTAGTTGCCCTGATGTGCAACAGAAAGTTCATTTACAATAGTCAGAAATATTCTTATGCACTAGCCCCAAAGAGTTTAGCTTTTGCGACGTCAGTTTGTTCCATTTTGGAAAAGAAAAAAAAAAAATCCCACAAAAGCACAACATCCCATCAGGTGTGGCGTGGGCAGCGACCAGAGGGTGCAGGAATGTCCAACACTCTGCGCCGCTCTTCATACTCATCCGTGTCCGTAGAATCCTCGTCTTCATCCACTGCGTATTCATTATGATTTGTTTCCTAATACAAGACACACACAGATTTAATCAAGATCTTGCAGCCCATCCACTTCTAAGGAGGCATCAACACAATTACCTATTATCTGAACAAAACCAGTTCTAGCCAATTACAAATCTTTGCAACAAGAGATTTTTGCACAACTAATTAATCTTTAATGCAAAAAATGGTATCCACTCACCTTAATAATTTAATAATAATTTAATAATGTACAACTACATAAAGCCGTAATTCAGTATCTCAGTCATTCTGGCTTGTCTATTGACTTGTGCAGAGTTTTTATATAAATAATTTAGAGCCACTACTAGTTTTAAATCCAGAGGAAGAGCAACAAGATAAAAATGTCATTGATTTCTACAGTCAACCAAATAGCAGAGTTGACAATTCCCCTAAACATAAGTCAGGGCTAAAGGTGACATTTTCTGTTACAAGCTCGACCTCTGCTGGCACTTACTGTTAGAGCTAGTGGTATTGAGAGTTTCTAACATCCCTTAGAAAGTATAAAAACAATGTAGATGTCTCTCTCTGAGGAAAGAGTCAGTAGTTGCAAAGAAAAAGCTGAAATAAAGTTTATCTAAATTAGTCGCTAAATAAAAGCTATGCTATAAATAAAGCAAATAGCATTTTTCTTCAAAAGTGTAAAACCACTAAGTACTTGGGTTTACCAGCAACTTCCAAACTAAGCTTATGTAACAATTAACAAGATGCTAAATATACTTTTGCATTGCTAAGTTACTTCATGAAATGCACTTTCCAGGGTGCCTGACTGGTGGAAGATCAGACAGACGGCCAACGTTCGGCTGCCAGTCAGAAGCTCTCCAAGAAGGCAGATCAACTGCAGTGTGATCCTACTAGGCAGGATATTTAAGAAAACCATGAAATTCGATGGGCTCGATGAGACGATATCAATCTGAATACTGTCAGTACTGTAAGCTTTACACCAGCAGTGTTTTATGCTCAGCACCACTCCAGAAACTGAGAAGAATTCATGTAACTGGAAATGGCATAATTTGAGACTGTTATTTTTTCTTTCCCAAGAAGTAGAATGACTTTTTGTAGAAAAATGTGGATTGTTAATATTAAAATAGGCAAATTCCCAAACTGAAAAAGGGTCATGACACTTTAGTTTAACACACACTGTCCTATCAACACAAGTGTTCTCGGCAAACATGAGAAGTCTAGTGTAAAAAAAGTTGCATCTTCACTTACTATTCGTGCTGTAGACACCTTGAATGTCGGACACACCATATGAAATCTGGGAATTGTAACATTAAAAAATCTTTCCTTGTAGTAGAGGCAATGGAAAGTGTAATATCCTTCCATATATCCAGAAGTGGTGGAAAACGTAGTACAGCTGGTGTATTCATAGACTCTCCCTGGACTGATTATTGGAAACTCCCCTGTGGATGAAGCGTTAAGCTGAATCAGAGAAGTCTGAAGTAGAACTACCATTTGGCATTTTGTTTGAACATTTGCAATCTACAAGATTCAGGCAGATCATTTTATAATCCAGTCAACACAAAGTGATTCTCAGTAACTACAGGAACAAACAAAACAAAAGATCTAAGGTCAACGACCAGGATGCTGGGCATCCTTCCCCTATCGCTGTGAGGAAGGCTAGGGAAGAAGGCTAGCAATCACATATATTCACCACAGAAACACTCTCTATCAGGTTCACAAAAACAATCTAGAACTTGTACCTACCAACTACTCCAGGCCCCTGAACTTCTTCTACGTCACCTTTGGCATTTGTTATTCTCCAGTATCGACTGTCCAGCTGACAAGCCTTCTCAGGAAGAGCATCTTTGGACATTTCAATTCTAGAAGCCAAACAACATACTTAACATGTATGGCCATAGTTCAATAACCAGTAAGAAACCCTTCTCACTATACTTAGGATATCCCTCTGAAAGCAGCCTTGGCAAAAAAAAAAAAAAAAAAAGAA